CTAGTTGTAAATTATTTTAACTTTTGTTTATCATGGAAGGTTTTTAGTTTATAATAAAATCTAAAGCTTAATTTTGCTTGTTGGCATCCATTTTCTTTCAGAGCGCGGTATATGCTGTTCCAGGATCCCCTGGCTTTGAGGGTCTGAGTTGAAAAATCTGCTGAGATAAGAATTGGTCTCCCCTTATATGTTATCTGATTTTCTCTCTTGTGGCCTTTAAGATTATATCCTTATTCTGTGTGCTAGACATTTTCATTATAATGTGCCTTGGTGTAGATCTGTTGTAATTTTGTATATTTGATGTCCTGTAAGCCTGTTGTATTTGATTTTCCAATTCATTCTTCATGTTTGGCAAATTTTCTGATATTATCTCACTGAAGAGATTGTGCATTCCTTTAGTTTAGAACACTGTGCCTTCCTCTATCCCAATAACTTTTGGACTTGGTCTTTTGATGCTATCCTATAATTCTTGGATGTTCTGCTCATGGTTCATTACCATCTTCACTGTGTGGTCAACTTTATTTTACAAATTGTATACTTTGTCTTCATTATCTGATGTTCTGTCTTCCAAGTGATCTAGTCTGAGGGTGATGCTTTCTATTAAGTTTTTTATTTAGTTTGGTTTATTGTTTCCTTCATTTCAAGGATTTCTGATTTTTTTTCAGAGTCTCTCTTTCCTGAAATAATCTTTTGCTACATGTATTTGCTCCCTTATCTCTTTGTTGGTGTGATCAATGGTTGCCTGTATTTGCTCTCTTATCTCTTTGTTGGAGTGATCAATTTTTGCCGGTATTTGCTCATTTAGGTCATTCTTTAATTCACAGATCATTTTAATTATAAATGTTCTGAACTCCTTCTCTGACATCTCATCACATGTGCTGTCCATGGGTTCTGTTATTGTAGTATCCTGGTTTGTTTGGGGCACTTTCCTCCCTTGTTTTTCCATGTTGTCTATGTGATTTCCTTTCTTGCAGTGTGGATCTGAGGTATTACAGTTCCTACCCTATAATCTTGTAGTATCTGTGCAGATTATCTGTACCTCACCTTGGTGTTGGGCTTTCAAACCCTGCTGGTGTCCCAGGATGGATGCTACTGCAACTATAGGAGGTGGTGGCTATAGCTTGAGAGAGCAGTGGAGGTGCCCCAAGATGGATGCAATGTCTTTCAGAGATGGGGCTGAAAGGGTGGGCCTTACACTGGCTTTGGGATGCCTGCTCCAAGATGCAGCTGCTTCTAGGACCTGTCTGTTGTCCCAAGTTAGAGACTACTGCATGGGGAAGGCTATGGGGATGGCTTCAGTGTTTCAAGATGGAAGTGGGTTAGTCCTGGGCTCTCAGGTGGTGCGTGTGTGGGAACAGACCAAGTTTACCCTGGGTCCTGGCTCCTGCACAGGTTATAGAGGCAGGTCTGGGCTAAGCCTGACTCTGGCTGGTGGAGGCAATCCTCAGGTATTGTAACTTTTGACACTCTCCAGACCAACTGCTCTTAGCTTTTACTATTTGTAAGCTTTGGTTTTGTAAGTTCCCATGAGAGGTTATACAAAGATAGGCAAATTCCATCAGGAAACCAAAGGAGAGGAATAATGTTCATGCAACTCCAGTTTTCTTAAAATCCTGGATTTTATGGTCTTCTCTTTTATATCATCTCCACAGTTTTCCAGCTACTGACCTAGTCTGTGTCCCATTGTCCTGTGTTTCCCAATTCTCACTGCACCCTTCATACAGTTGTTTGCCTGGCTGATGTCTCAATATTGTTTTTACAAGCAAGATTTTTAATTTCACAAGTGCTCTTGTAGTTCATCATGAACTTGCAGTCCTGAGATAAGCTATGGCTTGCTTCAGAGACCCCATTTATTCAAGAATCTGCTTTTTGTGCTCTCTGAGTCATGCCCTTCTGCTCACTCTGTGATGATGACCCTTTGGATAGGCCACACTGGCATTATGTCACTTAACAATTTTTTTTTTCCTTAACCAATTGTGTTCATTTTCTAACACAACATTTTAAACTACTTTGTATCATACAAAAACATATATTATGGAATTAACATTAACCCTATATTAGACAGAATTAAATTCTCTATTATATTAAGTTCAATCAATATTAACTTGTTGTGACTTTAAACCACGTTTTCTCTACATGGAGAGTAGTGACTCATTCCCCTCTCCTCTCTTTCACATTGTTTCTGAAAGAAAATTTAAATCAATGTTTTGCAAACTGCATAAGAATCACTCAGGGATCTTGTTAAAATGCATATCTGCCTCAGTACCAGGGATGGGCTGAGCTGTTAGTGATCTCCCAGGTGACGCTGATATTGTTGGTCTGTACATCTACATTTTGAATATCAAGGACACATACAATCTTTAAAAAGTCACCAAGAAAGTTATTTGTAATTCTTTTTAGTTCTTCAATGAGAACAGTAAAGAACTTATCTATAGATATCATTATTTTAAGGTGTAGTCTTGGGGTAAGTCCATTTATATCTCCACCTTTCCTTTCTCTCTGCTGCCTCTTATCTTCGACCCTTGTTTATTCTGTCTCAGTTATTGCACACTCCTCTCCAACCCAGGCTTCCCTTCTGCAAGAACATTGAGGACAGTCTTTATCATAGTATCTCCTTGCTCAGAAAGCTTTAATGAGCTCTCACTGCCCAAAGAATAAAATGTAGCATCCTTGATAGGAGGTGGTACTTCCTCCTACCAAGTATTTTTGGTACTGCGTTAGTTTTTTGTTTTTTACAAGACAGCATCTTGCTATGTGCCCTGGCTAGCCTCTAACTCCTGGGCTCAATTGATTCTTGTGCCTCAGTTCCTGAGTGCCTGGGACTATGGGTGCTGGGCACTGAACCTGATCCCTTTCCATGTTAACTCCCTTCCCTGCTTGTGAATATACCCACGTTGCTTCTATGCTGAGATGTTATTTATAACTTTCTCTGGCTGGAATGTCTTTTCATTTATTCCACACTAAAAATCCCTTTGTTTTTCAGTATTAAGTCAAATTATTGACTCTCCTGTCATAGGCTCTGCCCTCACTCTGCCCTCTCCTTGCCCCACCTTCAGCTAGCTACATAAAGGTATGGGTTAGATTCAGACTCCTGAGGCCAGAGTCCCTAACTAATCCCTTTTATACTGCCCTCAGCCTGGAGTGCTCAGCATTACTGCATGTAGGTGAGCAATGGCTTAATAAAGGGCAAGAGTTTGGAAACCACATGTAGCTGGGTTTCAATCCAGGCCCTGCTGTCCACCACCTGCATGACTTTGGGAACAGCACTTAACCTCTTAGGATGTTTTCCTTCATTTTGAAATTAGGGATGATAATACTTAAGTTGAGATAATGTATATAAAGTATGCAGCATTAATTATGAAATAAAGAAAAATAAATGGAAGTTGTATTCATACAAATAACAACAAGCTGTGGCAATAGCATTGTGAGCACACTATAAAAATGTGTTAAATGAATGTGCAAATAATTAAAGGGTGCCCAATTTACATCTTTTCTACTACTATTGAAGGTCATGTCCTCAGGAGAGGAGGAAAATTATTCACACTGTTGTCCTTTAACACAAAATATCAATCCCATCTTGAATTTTCTTCCTTTTGCTATAGGCATTACTTTTAATCTTTTAAGAAAAATTTGCTTATCTTTTAAACCTATTCTATCCCCTCAGGTTTTGTTTGTTTGTTTGTTGTTGTTAAACCATGGAAGGAGTAATAAGGATCCGTGCATGAGTGACAGGGCCCCCTAATGAAGGAAATCAACATTCTTCTGGACACTCTACTCCAACCCCTGGTTCCGAGCTGTGTTAGCATAATCAATATTATCCTATTTATTTGCAAGTCAGCACCTACATGGCACATACTTAATTAATGTTAAGTCACAGTCTATTTATTTCAGCTCATGCTTGATATATATATATATATATATATATATATATATATATATATGATGGGAACATTTGTATTTATACACATGGCCTAAATATAAATATCAATGCTCCTTTCCAAAAATGTTTTGCTTATTTTAGTCACCACTATGCAAATGCAAAGAGAGAGAGAGAGAGTGTGTGTGTGTGTGTGTGAGAGAGAGAGAGACATAGTGATGCTGGGGATCAAACTCGGGATCTCATGCATGCCAGGGGAAAGCCCTACCACTGAGTCACACCCCAGCCCTGGACGCAATACTAAAGTCCATGAAGAATATGGACATAGGATTATTTCATTTTGATTCTCCCATCACGAGCTCTATGTCTAAGCAGGGACAGTGGGAGTCTTTGCTTGTTTCAATTCTAGTCACTAAGAAAGCAAATTCCAAAGCTCTCAAGAGCATCGTTCTTTCTCTCCACCAACAAAATCCAGTTAAGGAAGAGATCCCAGGAGATGACTCAAACTCTGGAACCTGGAACGAGTTCCCCTGCTTTCTTCATCCAAATATCATCTTCAGAATTGACTTTCACAGGCTTAGAGACTTTCACTTTGAATTGCCTTTCCTTCACCATATTCCTATCTATGGCTGGAGCCACACTCTGAGAATCTTATGTCCTTTATTTTCTCATTGTCAGGTATCCACAAAGTCCCCACTCTGTGTCAGGCACTGTGCAAGACACTAGTTCAACAAAGGTCAATGCAACACACACATACCCTATAGGCATTACTTCTCACTGTTTATGTGCCATCATGGAGACTTAAGTAGATGCTCAATAAACACATTTTATTTGATGGGTGCCCTGAAAGAGGTAAAGTCAAGTCTGTTTCATTACAATGTGATCCAGTTCACCTTTATGCTCCAGGCTCTGCTAGAATGGAGCTACAAAGATAAATAACACTGACTCTGCCCTTGAAATTCATATAATCTGCAATTGCATGATATAACACTACTTCAATCTACATCTGTGGGCAAAAGCATTCTCTCCTAGGTCCCTTAACTGTGATCTCAAGAGTGTGTTGTATGTATTTACTGACATGCCATTGAGTGAAGTCTGTGGGGAGAGTCAAGGAGATACTCACCAAAGGCGCGAGTCCTTGGAGTGGTGTGGCTTCCTCTGCCTCATAGAGATAGAAATTCAAAGGGGCAAAGAAGTAGCCTGGGGCAGGTTCATTGCAGCTGCGGCCAGTGATGTGTGGGCGGCATTCACACTGTCCATCCTTGGGTGAGCACCTGAAGGGAAAAACCCATGTGGAGGACTGCGGAGAGGCTGAGGGTGAAGTGCAGATGGGGGGTGCTGAACCAAGGGCCCCCTGAGTCTGAGGGAGCTTGTTGAGAGGTTGTGGGTTCCACCTGCCTCATCTGGAAAAGAGAATTCGGATCCAGGGAACCCAGACAGCTGCTTCTTTCCTCGGCAGCTCCCTGGTTCTGCTCCAAAAACTGGGCAAAGGTGAGTATTAGGACCCCTCTTTACAGGTGGCACAGAGTTGGTGTTTCCAGCAGGTGAATCACACATTTCCCCTGACCCACCCCATCCTCTGGGGCACAGCCAGGCAGAAGATTGTTTCTCTCACCCTTGTTTATCGCTATACCTGGGCTTTGGGAATGTTTCGAGTTCCTTGCTTTTCAACACCCTTTGCTTGTCATGAAATAAAACCCTTTGCCTATGACCGTGAGCTTATCAGAATAGAATGTGCTTTCAAGTGGAGGCAGGGAATGTTGCTGCAAAACTTCATTTTACTGACTTACATGTTGGAATAAGCACCTCCAATATCACAGTCACAGGGAGAACATCCAGGGCGTTGATCCCCTAGTCCCCAGTAGCCAACCTACACAGAGAAAGGGCTCAGTTGATTTCAGCTGTGAAGATATTTGCTGCTCTGAAGCGCGACACTGAAATCACTACAACGCAACAGTCACAAGTCCAACAGCCACACAGACTGACTCACTGCACAGGAGCCTTCCTTGCCTGGACAAGGATCTCCACAGACACATCTCTCCCATCTGTAGCACTCAACTAAAGGGGACAGAAGAGTTATTTACGTATGGCTTCAAGTGGAAACACAACAGGAGCCAACAATTCCTCTAACAGCACCAAGTTTTGCTCAGGCAGGGTCATTTAAGGTCTAAGACAGTCTTCTGCCATCTTATTTGCAACTCTTTAACTAAAGCCAGTAGGTTCCCTTACCTTACGACAATCCATGGGGGTTTTATTTATAGTGCACTGAAATATTTTGGGATAGAAAAATCAATCAAACAGATTTTAAGATATTCTATGAAGATCTTAGTTCAGTAGAGACAACCATTTATAAGTCAGTCATCTTGGCATACCGTGAACCCATGTGAGAGTCAACTCTGATGCAAGGCTTTCTCAACATTGCAACATCTTGCCCTTTATGCAATATAAACAGCTGATGAGATATAAACAGCTTTTATTTTTTCTTAAAGCCTGATAACATTTAGTACAAAATTCTCAGAAAAATGCTTGTCCCTCCAATTTCAATTTAGCATGCTCAAATAAAATTTAGATTTTAGTAGCTATGAAACTCTTGTTTGGAATGGTCTTAAGTATTTCTATTATTTTTCTTGTTACCTCAGTAAAAATCGTACACCCAGTTATACTTAAAATTTTGATTTCAAACACCAAACATGGACACAATGTGTATAAAATGCAGCAAAGGACTTTTAATATTTCGGTTTGGTTTTGGAACCAAAGAAAGAAGAAGTGAAATGAGCTGTTCCATTCAGGATGTGGTTGTGAAAGACTTCTTCCAGCCAGGTGTGCTGTCCCAGTGGCCTCTCAGGTGGTCCAGCCTGAGCCTGAGCTTGCATGATTCATTGCCATGACATCAGACTGAGCGCAAGTTTGGTCTGGGACAACCTGATTTTGTATCTTCAGCAATCCTGTTGCACACCTGTGCACATTGCTTGGTGTTGCTCATACCCAACAGAAATGGCAAGGCTGACCTTTCTCTTCGTGTAAAACTTCTATATTACCTGCCCTGTCTTATGTATGGTTTCTTCTTCTTCTTTTTTAAAATATTTACTTATTTATTTTTTAGGTGAGATGGACACAACACAATGCCTTTTATTTTTATGTGGTGCTGAGGATCAAACCCAGGTCCCACCCATGCTAGGCGAGTACTCTACGGCTGAGCCACAATCCCAGCCCCACGTACAGTTTCTTCTTCATATTTTCTTCCTTGCTTCTTTCCCCACTTTCTCTGCCCCAGCCTACTATATTTTCAGTAAAATGACTTAAAATATTAGCACAAAACTCTTTCCTCATGGGCATCTGTTTCTTATTTATCAGTGACATTTCTTTAGACACATGAAGGTCACTGTTCTTTTATTAGGTTAAGTTTTTGTTTTACTCTTTCTAAAATGTCAGGGTGGGCTGCCAAGATTAGAGAACAAGGAAAAGAATGGGGTTGGAACTCCTCAGTTGCATGACACATTTCTTATGGAGTGAAACCAATCTTATCTTACTAACTTTAGAACATACATGTTCATATATTTAGTGCTGTCTGTGAAATACCCAAGGGTTTATTTCCCATAGCAATCTAAAATATATTTAAGCTCAAGATTGTTTTTTGTTGTTCTTTTAAGAGCTCATCTGAAATCTTTTTAGGCAGACAGTGGTAAGGGTGGTATGGGGATTATATGTATAAGCTAAAAGAAAGGCCATATGGTCTGGTTGGCCAAAAGGCATAGTGTTCTACTCTACTGCTGGGCACTCTCAGGAAAACAATGGATATATTATTGGCCTCTCCGTCTGGATCCATCAGTCCAATCCAGTGGTAAATGTTTAAAAGCTTTCTATAAGGTCTGGCGGTAAGGGAGGCTGATGTATAGTGTCTACCAATTTCTGTAGTGTAAATACTCATACCCCGGGAGTATTAAACTAGAGTAGAACAAAGAAAGCAATTAACAAGACCAAGTTTCTTCTAGGCAATGACAGTATAAATCTGCATAACTATGTAAACGAAAATTATAGGTAAATACATACAGTGCACTGTTCGCAGTGTGGTCCGGTGACGTAGGCCTGGCATAAGCATTGACCTGTATCTACATCACAAGTCTCAAATGGCAGACTCCCAAGGGGGTTGCAGTTGCAGGCTGAAAGCACAACATATATAATCATTCTCATTCTTAAATGTCTTTAATAGTCACAATGAGTAAGATGCATGGTCACAAAAACACAATGCAGCCTGCCCTGTCAGATTCATTGTCTGCCTGGCTGTATGATTATTGTACTGCATACAACCCCACACAGGAAATCCTGTTCTAGACACTTCCAGAGTTTTTAAGTAGTCCTATCGGATGGTAATCAGGAGGAGACAAGGCAGTGGAGGAGGAGGTGTAAGCTGGAGTCCTGGCACAGTTTTCCTGAGTGATGCTGGCCAGGCTGGCAACACAGGGCAGGAATTTCCAAGTGTTGTGGTTCTCATTGACAGCTCCTTCTCTGCAGATGCACCTCTCATTTCCCTCTCTCTTTCTTTTTTACTGCTTTGTAATGTTTTTATAATCCTCCTTCTCTGTCTCTTTCATCCACAGAAATTTCTGAGTCCTGCTTATGTTGTTTTGTTTTTTGATAATGAGGATTGAACTCGGGGCACTCTCCCACTACCTACATCCCCAGCTTTATTTATCTCTCTAAGTTGCTGAGGCTGGCCTTGAACTTGCAATCCTCTTGTCTCAGCCTCCTGAGTCACTGGGATTACAAGTGTGTGCCATCACACCCAGCTTCATGCTTATGTTGTAAAGGCTAAGAAATTATGCTACCAACAAAAGGTATACTCTTCCCCTACAGGAAAAACCAGTGTTTGAGGAAGCAACTCAGAAGTCCACCAACTGATGAATGGCTAAATCAAATGTGGTCCATCCATACAACGGAATATTATTCAGCAAAAAAAAGAAAACTGATACATACCACAACATGGATGAATCTTGAAAACATTATGCTAAGTGAAAAAAGCCAGTTACAAAAGACCTACATGACTCCTTTTGTATGAAATAACCACAACCAGCAAATCTATAGTGAGAGAATATAGATAAGTGCTTCCCTTGTGCTGGGGTCATGGACGGTAGAGTGAAGTAGGAATTTATGGCTTTTTTTTTTTTGGTAAAATTCATATAACAAAATATACCATCTTAACATTTTTCAGTTTTGTCAAGTCTATTCATATTGTTGTGAAACCAATCTCTTTTGATCTTGTAAAGTGGAATTCTATACCCATTAAGCAATGACTTCCCATTCCTCTTCCTCCACACCCCTGGCAATCATCATTCTACTTCCTGTCTCTATGAATTCAAATACTCCAGGTGCCTCATATGTGCTATTATACTATTTTTGTCTTTTTGCAACTGGTGCATTTCACTTAGCACAATATCCTTAAGATTCATGGTGTTGCTGCATGTGTCAGAATTTCCTTCCTTTAGGCTGAATAATATTCCTTTGTGTGTACATATTACATTTTGCTTACCCACCCATCCATTAATGGACATTTAGGTTACTTTCATCTTCTGCCTATTGTGAATGGTGCTGCTATGGACATGGGTGAACAAATATCTCTTCAAGTTCTGTTTTCCAGTCTTTTGGGTATACACCCAGAAAAGGAATGTCTTCTTGTGGTGATGAAAGTGCCCTAAAATCTATGTGCTGATGTCTTTGAATGTACTAAAAACCAGTGAATTGTGCTCTTTAAAGAAAAAATATTATATATGCGAATTATGTTTCCAAAGCTGTTTTACACACACACACACACACACACACACACACCCAAACCAACATACCACAAGTTCTCAGAGGACATCATATTAATCACTAAAGCAGGGAGAGGCCCGGGATGCTGAAAGGTATGATGGAAAATTGGCTTGACTGTAGAATTCATTATCATGGCATTTAATTTTGCCATGAAGCCTGAGAAGAGCATTTTATGACAGAAAGATTCAGCCTGCTGTTCTCTAAACATGCAAATAATCCACAGTTCCTTACATGGGCGAAATACGGAGCAGGATGCTGTGACCAAATGGAAATTATTTACTCAGACTTCCCAGAGGAATCAACAGCTCTACGAGACCCTAAGCAGCTCTCAACTTCTGTGCTCCTAGAGTCAAGAGCCTGAGCATTTGGCCCCAGACAACTGCTGAGGTTCTTTATATTTCTCCTCAACCCCTTCCTTGCTTCTTTAATTTCCCCGCTCGCTGTCAGAGAATTTATGAGTCAATATATGGAGGGGAGTGAGAAGAAAAGAAAAAAGGAATTTAAAAAATAAAAAGAAACCACCGCTTGAAAATTCCCTAAGAAGTCACGAATAAATTTATATAGATAGTCCTAGTGGAGGCCATTTTTCTTGGGGTTTTGCAGTTTGGCATTAAATTTCTTGGCCTTTCCCATTTGTTCCAGGAAAATACGAGCGCCCCCTGCTGGTACTTAATAAAAAACTCAGTAAACCACAGAGAAATATCCATTAACTTCCTAATATTTGTGGGAGGTATTGTATCATTTTTAAAGACTCAGAAGCCAACAGGACTGTTAGGTATTTGCAATGAATTTTGGGCTGACAGTGACAACATCAAGATTAAAATGCACTCAGGCTGGTGGCCCAGCCCAGACTTACGCTGACAGCCCAGGGGGTCAGAGGCACTTAGTCCATAGTGATTGGGTTTGCACCGGTCGCAGTTGACTCCTTCCACATTCTCCTTACACAGGCACTGGCCGGCCACAGTCCCCATGGCAGCATCAAGGTGGCTCACACAAATGCCACCAGATATGGTTCCATCAGGATCACATTCACAAGCTGGGGATATAGAAATCCATTGTCTTAATTAGTTAATTGCAAATTGTAGGAAACCTGAAATATAAGCAAGCATAGCATTTTACCCATGCTGGAACTATTTTATTTTGTTTAAATGACTATGTTTACCTAATTAAACAAACGGGCAGATTGGCTGTTCAGAAATATCTCCCAGATTTTTGTCCATAAAACATATCAAGTAATTTCATGCATATATTTTTAAAAGATTTTAAATGATTCTAAAGTTGGAGAACAAGAGGATGAGTGCTATTTTGAAAACTGGATGTTAAGAGTGGAGTAATTCTTCCTGGGTTGATGAAAATGTTTTGGAACTAGGTAGATTGGTGGTTGTACATTATGCTAGTGAGTTTTTATTTTAAAATGGTTAATTTTATGTTATGTGAATTTTCAACTCAATAAACAGATTAAAGAAAGACTAAAAATGAAAATAAGGTCAAGACACAAGTTTAAAGTAGGATGCTGTGATGCTATATATCTCATTCCAAGGACATGAGAAAAAAGAGGAGATCACATAAAATGTCTGCCAAATCTCTGAAACGGTTAAGTTTGTTCTTCTCCATCATAAAAAAAACTATGTTGCAAGGAAAGTGCTGTCATTCTTTGTAGTTTTTCTTGAAACACCTACAGGAAAGAAAGGGAGGGAACAGGGGGAATAGTAAGCTGTAGTCATGTCCCTGATTTCATTTTGGAAATCTGTTGATGAAGCCAATCTTGGATGAGGAGATTCTGGAAAACCGGGCAAACAGACGCTATACAACACAAGCAGCATTTTTAAAATTTGATTTTTATTTTTGGCACTTGTTGATTGGTTCTGGGGACACTAAATTACATCCCCAGTCCCCTGCCCTGGCTGTTTTTGTTTGTTTGTTTTTAAGACAGAGTTTTGCTAAGTTGCTGAGGTTGGCCTGGAACTTGCCATCCTCGTGCTTTAGCCTCCCAAGTTGCTGGGATCACAGGTGTGCACCACTATGCCTGGCACCACCATTACTAACACCACTACTACTACTACTACTTCTTCTTCTTCTTCTTCTTCTTCTTATTATTATTATTATTATTATTATTATTATTATTATTATTATTTTAAACAGAAATTTGAATAATTCAAGGAAGGAGTGTCATGAAAAGGGATGCTGATAGTATGAATAATTCCAGGGGACAGAATAAGGACTAGAGGGGAGAGGTTACAAAATGTAGACTTTGAAGATAAGGAAGAGCTCTCTAATAGTTAGGGCTACCTAATCTACCCCAGAGAGCAGTGATGTCTCATTATTGGAGGTGTCCAGATATGTGCTGAAGTAGCACCAGTGGCCTTGGTTTAGAGGATGAATGTATTGGTAGGTAATCGTTCATACTGTTGTCTCTTGTTGCTTTGTGTCTGCGTGTTTCCAAGGAATTCTACTTTTAAAGAATGCAATAAATGTAAAAAATGAACATCTTATTTTAAAGAAAAACCTCACTCACTTTTATATATGTTTGCTTTGGACTGACAAAAAGAAAGCCCTCAGGTGTAAAGACTGAGTTCAATGGGAAAAAATCCAGTCAAACCAGTTGTTTTCTGTCATTGAAGCAAACTCGGAGATGTCTGACAGATTCTTTCAAGTTTTGATTGTTTGTTATAGGATTGTGACTGGTGATAAAATCTTACTGTGGAAAAACAAAATTGGGATCTGTTTAATTTGGAGACAAAAGTGTCACAATTTTCTTTTAATTAAAGCCAGTTGCTTCCAAAAAGGAAGGACTAGAAGGACCGTTTTAGAAGTGGTCAAAAGGACAAAAACTCAACTTCTTTTGGGAAATACTCGGAAGAGTCAGCACTGAGTTCTAGAGTGTAATTTAATTATGCACGAAAGTACCTTTAGGGGCAGGGTGAGTGGACAGTGACTTAACTTTGAAATAATCCATGTCCCAGCCTTCAGAAGTCCAATAAAACCTAGTCATGTCAGAATTTGATTCTCGCAAACTTTTATTACCTTACCTTTCATTACCAAGTCTCTGATTTTTCTTTGTTTCCTCAGAGTAACAGGTTTAAGTTTATTGAAGAGATAGACATGGAAAAGGGACACTCTAAAGGGAGAAAATGGGTCCTCTCAGAGAGGAGAGAGACAGTGTGCCTTTCCTGCACTTTACTTTATTGGGGATCCCAGAGAAGTTTCCACAGAGTCCCACCCACTTTACCACTTGACTTTGAATTGACATCAGACTGGATGACATCAGACTGTCAGGTCCCCACTGCCATGGTAACTCTAGGTCACCTTGGCCTGGATGGATGACTGGTTCTTAATGGATTCTTTTTTAAAAAATTTATTAAATTATTTATTTATTCTAATTTGTCATACATGATGGCAGAATGCAGTTCATTTCATATTACACAATAGAGCACAATTGTATATTGCATTTAACTGTCTTAGTACTAGAAGATTTAAAATTAATCAACTCTTATGCCTGGAATCTACTTATGTAAATATTTAGGTTCAAGCAAGGACAATTTAGAGAAAATCTGTAAGAGAGTGCTAATCAATCTTCTCAGTCCACATCATCTGTGTACATACAATAAGCACATGTTTGGATGAACTGGGAGAAACTGGGGACAAACATGAAGGAAGTTTGTTACAAGCTCCTCATCTGCCTTCTCTGGAAAAACTCCTTGTTTACAAAGAATGACTTAATTCATATTGGGGTACTAGTTTTTGTTACTTGCCCCCTCCTTACACAAAGGAACCACCAAGTTAATACTAAGTAGTTCTTAAGGAATAAGACTTTTATTAATGTGTTTAAAATATTTGGTTTACTATTTCCAAATATCTTTCTAGATTACTATAATATCTGTTTTGAAACACTGTTATTTTCCTGATTCTACCCAGAAGAGCAATTCCATCTTTCTTTTTTTTTTTTTTTTTTTTGTACAAAGGATTGAACCCAGAGGTGCTTTATCACTGATCTACATCCCCCAGTTCTTTTTATTTTTTATTTTGAGGCAGAGTCTGGCTAAGTTGCTGAAGCTGGCTTTGAATTTGCGATTTTTCTGCCTCAGCCTTCTGAGCTGCTGGGATTACAAGTGTGCACCATCAGATCTAGCTTCTTCTTTTCTAAATATATAATTTCTAAAACCTTAATAAAAGTTGTGAATGGTGTGTGGGGGTATGTGCATGTGTGTGTGTGAGTGGTGTGTGTGTGTGTGTGTGTGTGTATATAGCAGGGGAGAGAGATATATCAAAGATTCTGGACATTTACGAACATGCTCTAAAAACATTTTCTTGGAATTTTGAACATGTCATGTAAGTTTTGAACTTACATGTCATGTCAATTTTGAACAGGTCATGTAAGTTAAATTTTGTATTAGTGCCTACTGAGTAATCTAAACAAAACCCCTTTATTGATACTTTTTTATATTGTGATATATTTGGTCATTTCTAGTTTGAAATCTAGGACATTGACTGTAGTTAGGTGGCTACCGAATTACTTTTATTTAAGAATTCATTTTATTATGATTATTTTAAGTTTGAAGCAACCTTCCTTGCTTTTACTTTACATTGATGATACAGTCTAAGAAGCATGTTTTCTGGGTTCAAGGAAAGGCAGTTCTCCATGGGTCTTGGACATCCTGAAGGTTTCTGCTAATACGCTAACAATGCAAGGCCCTGCTTCCTCTTTACCCAGGAATTTCTTAGGGTTGTGTTTGCAGCAAGGAATTTGAAAGATAAGGTAACATCTGCCTCTGGTCAAAGAGCAAACTTGCTTTCACTTGTTATAAAAGCAACAAATCCTCCAAGTTCAATATTCCTTGTCTGTGGCATAAGCTCACTAAGTGTGTGCAGAATCCATTTGGTATCCTTGGGACTTGGGTCTTGGGTACGTGGGAACCCAAGCCAACACAATGATTTTTTTTTTTTTTTTTGGTAGTAGTAGTTGGACAGAATGCCTTTATTTTATTTGTTACATTTTTATGTGGTGCTAAAGATCAAACCCAGTGCCTCACACATGTGAGGCAAGTGCTCAGCCACTGAGCTTATTGCTTGCTTGGCATGAATAATAAAGTTTTTTTTTCCTTTGGCCCAAGACTGTCATGTCTTCCACCAGCAAACATGGAGTGGGGGAGGTGGGAAGCAGACTAACTTCTTAGTTTATAAATAAGATCTCAGACCCAGTTACTCACACAGGGTATGGTTAAGTCAGTTTGGAGTATTTATCTGGGCTATAACATACAGTAATGATGGGACTACAGTGAGGCAAGCAAAGTGCCTAGGGTATAAAATTTAAGAAGACAAGTATGCACTTACATGACCCTGACAGTGAATGCTACATACATTTGGGAAATAGTGCTTTGCTTACCTCATTTTAATTTCAGTCCTGCAGAGAAATACAAATTAAAACCACGTTGAGTTAACACTTCATTTACTAAATAAAAGTGTGACAAAACCAAGATTAACAAAATTTGAGTGCTGGCAAGGATATAGAGCCACAGGAGGTTTTTACACTATTGGTGTGAGTGGCAATTGGCACAGGATGATTCTGTATTATCTAATCAATTTGAAGAGGTGCATACCCCATGGGCCAGAAATCCCACTCTCAGTTGTGTTGCTTAGGGATAGTCCTTGCATGTGTATACTAAGTCACAAATACAGAAATGCTTATTGTAGAATCAGAAGGAAAATGGGACAAATACACTTTGTCATAGGATGTAATTCAATACAGAAATTAAAATGAAAGAAGGGCTACTTGATATGGACATATCTTAAAAGTATAATGTTGAATGAAATATTCAAGTTTCTGAAGGTTATTTATGGCATAATATTATTATCTAAAATCATTGTTATCAAAAATTTGAAAATGTGCCAACCTACGTTGTTTGTGGATAAAAACACACATGAAAGCATAAAACAAGAATGATAATGATAAATACTTAGTACATGAGACAGCTTACTCCTAGGAAGGAGGGTGAAGGAATGGGGTGCACCTGGGACCTGGATGGTGCCTGTTATGTTTTATTAAAGAAAGTCCTGGTGGCAATAAGATGAGTTTAGGTTTTAATAAAGTTGGTGGTGGGTATATTATTGTCTATTAGTTTGTATGTGCTTGAATTATTTCTCATAAAATAGTTGAGATGAAAGATAAGAGATTTTAAAAGTTTCCCTCCTGTTCTTCTTTTTTTAAATTATTTTATGAAGCAAGGCAATACCTTACCTTATTCATCTAAACAGCAAAATTGAATTGTCTCAAGCCAGTCAAATGTTTTAGGCAAGTCACCTCTTTAGCTACTTCCCTAAGTGAAGCTAATTCCATGATTCTCAAGACACCTGAAGGGATCTTGGGAAGCCATCTGCCCCTCCTGGTTGAATTCAGAATTGTTTCCTGATTCCCTGATAGAATCAGGTCCTGCTTCAAGACCTTCAAGACCCACCTGGATTAGTTGGCTCAACTTGTTTGGAGAAAGAAAAGCTCTTAAAGCTGAAGCGCTTATGCACGCCTCGCCCCCGCCTTCCCAAATAGGGTTGTTTGGAGACCCATTAAGCAGAGTGGGGACTGGCAGCCCCAGTGAAGCCAAATCAGAACTTCCTTGGATGAGTGGAAAGGGTGGGGCAGGGTTGGGGTTGGGGACTCACGCAGGCATGCATCAGGATCTGAGATGGCCTTGAGGGGGTCCTTGTAGAACAGGGGTCTGCAGCGGTCGCAGTGCTGGCCCTCCGTGTGGTGCTGGCAGTCCTCGCACACGCCCCCGCTGAGGCCGCCACTCGCCAGGTACGTGGCCAGATCGAAATGACAGCGGTCAGAGTGGCCATTACAGCTACATGCTGAGAAAGGAGGAGATTGCCTTAGTGCCTGAGAGATTCGCCAACATCTCAGGAGGAACCAAGCCCTGTTCCACACTCCGGTCCTGCACCTCTCTTCCTGGCCACAGCCACTCGCACCTCTTTCTAGACGCAGCAAAGGTACAAAGGGCCCAAACCGCTGCTTTCCAAGGATCCCTCACACCTCTGTTTCTGCTCCGGTACTTTCTATAAAACGTGTTCCTTCAATGTTTAATATGTAGTTTTTTTAAAATGATGCAAACAAAATAAATCATTTAAGCGACCTAGAAGCCACAGAGTGCAATATGTGTAGTTTCATAGAGCGCTTTTACCTACTTATGCTCTGTAAATTTGAATTTTTCACCTGAAGCGTTCTATATATACTCGGATTCTCAAATAAGATGGAGCTGAGCCCTGTTCAGATTATGCCCCTCTGTAGGGACAGAAAAGCTGCAGGAAAGGTTGCAGGTCATATGAAATCTCATCTGGGGCTCAGCCAGAGAATTAGAGGGCCAGCCAGTCTGTTTAGAGGAATTTGTTTGTCTTCATGGTAATATCTCTTGGGTTTTTCTCTATAAACAGCCTAAATTTGGCCCATGTTTGGTTGTGTACTGTGACTGTGGCGGAAAGGGCTTCTTTACTAGAGGTCTTCTAAGGGACTTCCTTTCTCTTCCTCAAGTCCTATTTTTCTAAATCTGGGAAAAGAAAATAAATAACAAGATTGTTTAGAAGTTCATCAAAATTCAGAAGTAGCAAACATGTTGCCAGCAACAAAAACAACATCTTATCAACCTGAATATTTTATTGGCGGGTTTCTGTTCATGACTAAAAGGCTCAGGGGTCACTCCAGTTGAACTGGGCTAATCAGGGAGCTGCAAAATAACCACACAAGAGACACAAATACCTTTTTCTTTGGGGTCGCTGGGACAGCTCTTCTGACCTTAAGGGTCTGCAGGAAGAGAGAGGGAGAGAGAGAGAGAGCGCACGAGCGAGCACAGGCTGACCCCTTTTATTGAGGAGAAGCTATTCAAATGAGGCAAGGGGTCAGGTTTCAGGGGGCTGAGTCTATCTTCATGATGTCCACTGTTGGCAGGTTGAGTGACTTCTAGGTAGGCCACACCCAAGAGCACAGTAAGAGAAGGATACACACACAAGGCACTTCCATGGAACATTCTATCTTAAACAGGGCAAGGGGTTACATTACAAAGGAACAGGTGAGCATAGCTCCACCCATGGGGCTGTAGGAAGACATGCCCAGGCACGAAGACAGTCACTTGAACCCTAGAAGAGGGGGCAGTCTAGCAGCATGGGTGCCTGACACCACATCACCCAGCAGGGGAGTTAACTCAGTCATGTGCGAGGTTGGTCTCCCACATTTTATTAATAATAATTTATATTATATTTTATATAGTAGCCTGTCAATTTCAATTCTGGATCTCCTTTCTCCCATCATCCTATATGTGGCTTAAGGTCCTGTTTAGGGACCGCATGATCATTCAGGAAGATGGTCGAGCTCTCTGTGCATTGCCTTTAGTTATTTTAACATCACAAGACTCTGCCTAGCCTCTGAAAATGTGCCACACAAAACACATATAATTTTATCAAAAAAATTATTGTAGTAACAGTTGCAGAATTTGGTGGTTCTTCTATGTGACATAACTGGAGGGATTAAGATGTCACACAATTAGAGCTGGGAGCCACAGCCTCATCACCTCTGCAACCTGCAGCCCCAGTGAATGAACTATGTATTCTCCAAAACTGGGAATACAGAATACATTCAATCCATATGAGGATTTTTTTCACCTACATCTGCATGCATTGTCCTGAGAGCCTATGGCTGGTCTCCATGGAGCATCCTGGAAGAAGTCCTTGCACCTCTCACAGTTGGGGCCATCTGTGTTGTGCTGACAGACGCACCGACCATGAACCTGCATGTGCAATAAACAGTGTTAAAATATGCCTTTTCTCTGAAAAGCCCTGGGGTTCTTTAAGTGAAAAATGAAAGATCTGGCCATGGGCCCTCTCTGACTCTTCTTTTTCCACGTGTTAGTGACAATAACAACCTCAATTATCTTCAATTGCCTGCTTAACTAGCTTTTAAACTTTAAAAATTTTCAAAAGTTCAGTGAACATTTAAATACATTTTCCCCCTGAATTCTATTTCAGCGCCAAACATTACAACCTCAGTAAAATGAGAGACAGAATGGACATGGGAGTGTTGAGGGAGGGGTGTTTATTGGGTGTTTAGAACCATAAGGGGAAATAGGGAGTTAAAAAGGGAAACTGTAAGACATGTGATTCTCTTGGTTTTTCTCTAAATGACCAACGTTCAGAGTGTTGCTCTATTTTGGTGAAAAATAGAAGTTGTTGGGTGGGAAGATACAATGGCCTAGACAGTAAGCCTGAGATTTATGCCTAGTAAATGGTCTAAATTTATTTAATAGGCACACCCCTGGGACTTTGCACAGAAACACAGTTAGTGGGCTGGGGATATGGCTCAGTGGTAGCATGCTTGCCTGGCACATGCAAGGTACTGGGTTCATTCTTCAGCATCACAACAAAATGAAACAAAAACAGTTCTATTGGGGTTGGGGTTGTGGCTCAGTGGTAGAGCGCTCACCTAGCATGCGTGAGGCACTGGGTTTGATCCTCAGCACCACATATAAATAAATAAAATAAAGGTATAAAAATAAACAAACAAACAAAAAAACAGTTCTATTACACCAACCTTTAAGACTAGTTCCAAGAATGAGGGCAATCTTCAGTATTAAGGTATTGTTATTCAGAGTAAAAGAATATTACTTGGATTGAACATTTTTATAACATCAGATATTTTCTTAAACAGTTTAGCTTTGAGTACAATATCTCACATCAACAGACCTTCAATAAATTTTTGCAAGAGAATGAATGTGAAATTCTGGTTTAGCCCTATTGAATCTCCATTTCCTGAAAAATAACAAAAGGAGGTCAAGATTGGCCATCTTGAAATCATAAATTATAAAATATGCTCATTAGTAGAATGAAATTCATAGGTGGCATAATTCACAAGAAACTCTGGCTAGAAGAAAGGCCCCCAGATGGCCTGTTGGACAAGGTCGAATGACAGTTTCCTGCTCCAACAGAAAACTGGCAGTAGGATTTGTTGATCTCCATGTAGAGGTCTGGAGTGCATTCAGCATCAGGACAGCAAGGGACAGGAAGAAGAGCCAACTTTTCTTTGGATTAATGACTCACCATTCCTGGGGAGCTGAAAGTGTCGCCCCGCTCGTTCTGTGAAGGACCACATTCACTGGCATGGCCATTGCAAAAACAGCTTCCCCGAAGAACCATTTCATACAGAGCATAGTAGTATTTATCAAGGGAATCATTTTGCTTCCTTCCCAGAAAAGTATCCCCAAGTGTATGGAGTTTGGTAAAGTTTATCCTCAGGTTTGTTAATGTTACAAGATCTAGAGAGTGAAAATGAAACAATATATAAATATGCATTTAAGTTGCATTGGTTCAAGGTGCCCGCCTTGACTAACATTCCCTTAGCATGCTATGGAGATGCTGTTACAAGAAATAGTCCTGGCACAAAATTTAAAGAGAAGCAGGAAACATACAAAACAATTCATACCCTGGATGTAGGGGCTGTAAGGGTTTTCTATTTCAAAGCTGGGATCCAAAACTTTTAAAACAACCTGTAAAAACAAATGTAGATAAATGTATAGCATGCAACCCCAAAACCTAATTGTCTAATTTTCTTCGAAAGAGTTTTTGATCTTGCAAGTAGACTGAGCTGATGTAGGATATAAATTATCACTTGGGTTAGAATATAAATAAAAGTACCAAGAACAAATATGAATGCCAGGGGTGAACCAGTCCTTCCTGGCTCTTCATCACAGGTATCCCTACAGACAGAAGGAATGATGCTATTGGTGAAGAGGGGTCCAAGCTGGGTTGGGGTGGAGTGGTAGACAATTCAGCAAGCCACCATCAATTTGGGCTGGCAAAGAGTTCTGAAACTATCACCTGCCACCAATTCTTTCTTACCTCCCTGATGAAATAGTACCTCCAACCCCACTCCCACCCTGACCCCCTGCCAGTCACCAGCTTTGCTTAGAGGGATGTTCCTGGGATTCCACTGGGTGGTGGTTTGAAGAGCATGGGAATGGGATGGTGAACTCAGAGATGCTGCTGGCCTGTGACTCCTTTGCAAGGGTTAGAAACAGGTGACCAGGGCCATAGGGCCCAGTTTAGATTTTAGCCCTGTTTACCCTTTAGCTGGGCATTCTTATGAAGGATTATTTCTAATGTATTTATAATTTCTTATTCAGGAATCATTTCAATCTAGACACTTTCATGTTTAAAAAACAAACAGCTCAAGTTATATTTCAGTAAGTAATATAAATTTCAGTATATAATATAAATTTCTTCTAAAATTTGAGTCAATCACATTTTTGAAAGTTTTGAAAAGGAAGGAAATTTTACCTCGCCACCAGTTGAGGGTTCAATATCTGAATATTTGGAGTCACAAACAAGGTCTCCCACTCCCTGGGCCTGGCCAGATGTGACATCAGGAAAGGAGGCAGCACAGTCTTTTGCAAAATATCTGAGCACTTTCCAGGAGTGTCCGTAGTCTGTGGATCGTTCCACTAACATTGCAGCAGGCCGAAAAGTCTATGAAAATAAGTAAAAGTTGTAATTGTCACAGAGGCAGATTTTATTACCTACTTCACATTGAACATTCTTTTTTTTTTTGGTGGGGGGGTACCAGGGATTGAACTCAGGAGCACATCCCCGGCCCTTTTTTTGTATTTTATTTAGAGACAGGGTCTCACTGAGTTGCTTAGTGCCTCCCTGTTGCTGAAGGCTGGCAATCCTCCTGCCTCCACCTCCCAAGCCACTGGGATTGCAGGTGTGTGCCACTGCTCCCAGCCATTCTTATTTTGTAATTCCATTTTTTTCCAACTTTATATGTATCTTTTAAATCTACTATATAGTAAACCCACCTAGATCTCATTCCAGTAAGTAGGGAAGAATTTGTGAATAAATACTTTGTCCTCAGAATCTAATTGCATTTTGAAAATATTTATGACTATGTGAACTAGTAATTGAAGGAAGATGGCATATAAGTTGAAAAGCTAATGCCATTAATATTTAACAGCAATTCACTTTGATTCCCTTAACCTAGAATATTTTTCCTCAGGCAAACTCTTTTACATCCTTCAAAACTCATCTGTGAAGTTGATTCTGATTCCCCAGAGCAGATTTAGCCTCTTCAGCTAAGTCTCCTTGCATTCTAATCATGCCTCTATTTCTGTACTTTGTATTACAACTTCCTATTTATATGCTTGTATTCATCAATAGATGGTAAGTTCTCTGGGGGCAAAGACCAATAATCATTTTTGTTTGTTTTTTATTTTACACTCATTCTTTATTATCAAAACTAGTACCAGGCCTGAAATCAAAGTTAAAATTTTGATGAGTGATTATGAAAGACTCTAGCACAATGATTTGCTCTGGCATCTGACCATCCTTAGTAAAGAGTCTAATTTTTCTTCTTCTGTTGATCACAATCTTTCCATCTTTCCCCAAATAATCCTCAGTTCCTGTCCTTTTCTCCTATGAATTATCTTTCTAATTCTTATGGTTCTTATCACCTATTACCTGAAGTTTGTCTTCTAAGATTTTAGAAAAAAAATTTAACCATTTACTCATTAATTAATAAACAATTTTTAAAATTTTACTGAAGAACAAAACCCAAGTGACAAAAGTTGACGCTAGACCTATTCTGCTTTTGTTCTCTGTAAAAAAGTGAAAGTTCAGATTATGGGACAGGTAAAAGGGACAGGTAAAGGGGACAGCCAGCCTGTCCCTCTGTACCTTAAAGGTCAGTATAAGGTGGCTGAACTGAAATATCGCCTCTAGGTCCAATCTGATGCTGACGTGATCAAGGCCTAAAGAAAGATCCAGAAAGAAAAAAAAAAAATCAATGCTTTTGAGAAATCCCGGCTTATCATGTTAACCCCTTATTTTGGCTTGCTTATAGTAAGATACCTTTGACATCACAGGCAGGTAGTCAACGCTCTTTGCCAGTCTGGACATGCTGCTGGGCCACTCCAGGCCCAGGAAATCTATGTGAGAATAGCATAGATATATCCTGGTCTTTGCAGGCATGCAGGCATGTTTTGGTGGCAACATAAGCAGCCACTGTGTGGCAGCATCACATGCCCCCGAGGGAGTTTCAGGCCCTTTCCCATGGGGTGAGAAGAGAGAGTTCATTTCCTTAGCTTAGATCTAGACTACACATAAACAGGAGCTAGCAAGCTGGAGCATGATGAAAATCAACACACCTGTTTCTTCCAACAGTTGCTAACTCATTTGAACTAGAATTTACTCATTTATCATAAAACATAGCTTGGAACATTCCCCTTGAAGTGGGGGACCTGTGGGCTCCTCTGTGACTGAGGAGATGACAAAAGTCCTAGCCAGGACTTTGCATGGATCTAGTTAGCTGTGATCCATCTCTAACATGCAAATGGAGCATCCACCTTGACCTGGACCTGATGGAAGCCCAGAGCTCTTGAGAGCAGCACTGTCCAACAGAAGCAGAACATGAGTCTTATTCAAAATGACTCATGAGGAGGACATGAATAAATTTTTTTCTAGTAACTACTTTGAAAACAGAAAGTGAACCAGTTAAATTTATTTTTAATAACATACTTAAACCAATATAGCCACAATATTATCATTTCAGCCTATAATCAATATTTTAAAATTGAAATGCTTTGTTAGACATTTTCTAAATGATGTTTTAGAAATCTGAGGTGTTTTTTCATTTGTAGCACAACTCAGCTTGGATTGGCCATGTTTTAAGTGCTCAGCAGCCTCCTGTAGCTAGGGGCTAGCAGACTGCATGGTGCAGCTCTAGACAACAGTGGTCTGACACAGTGAGCCGGTGTCCAGCTTAGACCCTAGGCTGAACAGGGGGGAAGAGTTTGCTGCTGAGAGTTCAGCCGTATTCTGGGTTTTGTGTCAAAGGCTCCAATGCTTTCTAGGAAGAGATCTACTTTCCTCTCTTTGAAAACGCTTGGTTGAGAACCCTCATTGTGTATTCGGCTCTGACAGAGTGACATTCTCTTTGTGAGGACAAGTGGAACAAATGCTGGACGTGTGGGTCAGAACAGCTGTTAAGCAAAAATGGCAACCATTCATCAATGAAGATGGGACTGCAGTAAAAACAACATCCTATTCATTCAGGAGAGTCCAATGCTCAACGATAACTGGGATCCAAAATGAAATGACATTTAGTAGACACCAGTCATGCCTTTGTCAAGCAGATGGCATAGAAAAACTGCCTCATGTTATGCTTGCCCCAAACTATCTTATATAATATGATGATTCCCATGCTGTTCTCTAATGGTCTAGGATCCTCTAAAAGAAATATATTTAGAAATATGAAGAGAATAGAAATATTAGAACCCAAAGTGCAACCTAGAGATGTGGTGAGTGGAATGATTTTGTTGCTAAGGGAAACTGAGAGGGCTCCACACCCATGTTGAAGAGGGGCTGCTGCGAGTGAGGAGGCTGCCCCTTGGGGAGGTCTTCATGCATGGAATGGAGTTAGGTCATGAAGATAAGGCCCAGGGATGGGTGGGACAAGAGGGATCCCTCATCAGGTTCACACTTAGAGTGGGCCTGTCAGACCTTCAGACCAACAGATGGTCATGGCCAGTGTGGGGCTCCATAGCACCATTGTCACAAGCAGAGGAGGATGTCACTTCAGGGAGGAAAGAACTTAAAGTTAGTAGCCAATTATCTTTTCAATTTTAAATTAAAAGCTTTAGCTCGTTGTAAGGAGCAAAATATTCTTTATCTCTCTCTTCATGGATTAAAGAAGGAAAAAGTACCTGGTGTTAATTCCCAAACATCCCCTGGCATTATTCATTCAGTTCACATCAGTGTGTTTTAAATTAGGGTTAATTCACCAACACTTCATAAACTTTTTAATTTTTTTATAAAGAACAAAAGGATACAAAGATAGTTTCCTCCCCCATATATGAAATATTCTGAGGTAGGTGCTGAAAATACATTTCGGTTTCTCTAAAGGAAAATATTCTTTCTTAAAAGGAAAATAAGTTTGGCTCACATTGTTGGTGGATCACATCTTGCAGTGCTATTGTTAAAAAGCAGGCAAAGAGGAAGGTGCCTTATTAAAATATGAAGAAATGAAAAACTGAAAAGAAATTTGATCATACCATTCTCAGATTGCCACCATTTCTTTCCTCTGTCTGGTTCAAAACTTGTGATTACATTCTCAATGGTGTGACTGTTAGGCTGGGAATATGGGTCATAGGGAAATCGGGAGTCACACACGAAACATTTTTGTTCCCCCTGGAAAACACCATTATTAAATTTAAAAATAAGGAATTTTAACTACTTATTGTTGATCTGAATCTAAAAACAAGCTGTACACACTATATTTATCTTTCAATCGGGCTAAAAATAAAAAGCAGAGGAAATAACAAGACATCACTTTTTCCATCAATAGGTGCTTAAATACAATAACAAATTGAACTCAAATATGACCTAGAAATTATATAAGTTTATGCATTTGGGGGCAAAAATACAAATGTGTTACTAATTTTTCTCCTGTAAGAGGCAGATGTTCTGCAAGTTATTTTAAATATAGAGAAATACTCATGGTGTATTTTTTGAATTTTCAGGAGAGTCCAACTCAAAATAATTTTTTTGAATTATTTCCTTTAGCCAAAAAAGGAAATAATATTTGGAAAGAAGAAATTCATGAAACACTGGAGTACTAGGTTATCTGCAACTGTCATTTGATTCCTTTTCTATCAGCTTAGATAGTTTGGGGTAGGGAAGCTTTCATGACAAAAAACCTTTATGTCACATTTTTGGACAGAGGAAAAGGATTTCCATTAAATTCACAACAAAGAGGCCCATCCTCCTGTCTTGCAGACTAGAAGATCTCATTTACTGTTCTATATATATATATCCCCCCCTGGAATAGTGTCTAGCACAAAGTTGATGCTCAATAAAATTGGAACTAGTTCTGCTTAGGAAGGATTGGAACTAGTTCTGCTTAGGAAGGATTTTCAAAGGTGACAAGAGAAAAGCCTGGCTTTTGAGCTTCCTTAATTTAAGGTGTAGCTTAAATTGTAGCTCTGCTTAAAACTCCTCGAGGGCTCTATGCACATTTTCAAAGGACTTTCAGTGGCCTGCACAGTTATTCCTGGCTCACACTTGAGGGACTCTGAGGGAGAGTTTTTGTAAAACTTCCAAGAAGTAGAGACTGCTCATTATAATTTTCTGTGCCACCAATTACCTGTGACATCCTATGTCCTCAGCGGGCAGGTCCCTGGTGACTGTTGATTGTCTGATCAGGGCCATGGCTTTAACTTTATTTCTACCTGTCTTCCTTTGTCACCTGGCTCTAACTACACGTGCTTCTTGCTATTCTTCAAGCTCACCAAAAACCCTTCTTCTTTGGGGTCTTGGCAGAAGTCATTCTCTCACCCCAATAGTCTTCTCTCTTGATCCTTCCCTTCTTTCAGGTCCCTGTGTAAATGCCAACCTCTCAAAGAGCTTTTCCTCAACTACCTTATCTAAAATGCCACCACCTCCCCTCACCACGGCTTGCTATCACTGTTGACCTTTTCTCTAACTTACGTGTTTTATAAATCCTTACGCTACTTGAGACTATATTATGTATCTCCATCTAGAATTTAAGCTGAATGAAGGCAAGGACTTGGTTTACTGTTTCTCTCTATATATCCCTTCCCTGGAATAGTGTCTAGCATAAAGTTGATGCTCAATAAAATTTGTTGACTGAACGCACATGATTTTAATGATTATTTCAGCTGGAATCTGTCCAAGTAAACCAGCCCTCCAAAAAATCCACATAATCAGTGTGCTTCAGAATCACTGGATGCCTTAAGCTTGTTGTTGAAGAAAAATCAAGATGTTCTTTGAAGATTAAGACACAACAGACGGGCCTTGGGATGTGGCTCAGTAAGAGAGTGCTTGCCTAGCATGCATGAGACCCTGGGTTTGATCCCCAGCACCACAAATAAACAAACACACAACAGATGCTAGATCAATTCTTCCTATGAGTCGGTTTGTCCCAGACCTGTCCTAGAAGATCAGCAGAAGACTTGTGATGCCACCAAAAGATGCTAAGTCCTTGAAGTATTTCAAATAATACTATGAAAATAATTAGGGAAAATGTTTAACTTTGGGTCTTTTAGGCTATTTTTTTTTTCTGTAAACATTTTAGAAGCAATGTCTTTCACTGGGTTGGCTATAGAGGATTCTTAGCTGTGGCCACCAGATGTGGGCATTCCAACTTGGGAAATGCAGTGCATCAGCATTGACTTGAAGCTTCTAAAGAAAATGTTTTGCTTGTCACTTCTCTTAGACAATGAGTGCAGGACAATCATTCTCTTTGCTGCACAAATGTTGACATAGACTCAGATCTGTAGCCCCACCTGTGATACTTGTCAGCCTGAAATATTTCGAATCACCCCCCAGGTCTAAGCTTTCTGTCATTCTCCAAACAAAAGAAAGCCTTTACTTTGATTTTCTGAATAACTTTTATTTCTAGTGGTATAACTTTGAGATATAGAATCACCAATTTCTGGTGATTGACAGAGTACACTGGCTCCTGACCACCGTAAACAAATGCCAGACGTTGAAGAACAAGATGGACGGTGCTAGTGCTGGAGAGTTGAGAACCACTTTTGTCTAGAGGAGCTGGACTTAGTAAAATCTCTTGAAGGGCTATCTATCCCAGCTGGCCTAGGGTTGAGCAAAACTTCCTCCATGTAATTTCCTTACAACATGTAGAGGATTTGCTTTCTTACATAAGTACTTCCCAAACAGAACAGTGCTAAGCACACAAGTATTGTCTCCACCTATTTATAATCATCTTCTTTTACTCAGAATCAATTAGAATACAAAGCATTTTCCAGAGACCTAAACAAGATGCCTTAAATAAACAATACATGGAAAATCCTGGGCCACCAACATTAGGCTTATGTCCAACTTCCTTCCTGTACATCCTCTCATTTAAGGGTGAACGTGATTGTCTCAGGGTTCTCAGCAGGTACGATACTCAGATGACCTTGGATGCTTGTTCTGCCGCCAGGATACAGGGAGGAAGAACCCTGAAAAGCCACTGGTCTTCTTATAAAAACTGGTTTTTAAGGGGAAAAGACATAAAAATATGTTCACATTGGAATCTATGGTTTTGAAACAATGCAACTTCCAAGTGGTATCATGAGGGTGATGTGCAGTCCATTCAAAGTCCTCTGTCTACCTAAGGCTGAGCAATGGGGACTCATTTTCAGAGCAATGGTTTTGAGGCCCTGAGGCACCTTTGATGTTCACTGAATGAGTCAATTATGTTTGCTCTATGGGAGTGATAAGTAAAACAGTAGATTTTATTGTAATTCCCGTCAAGGATTGAACCATAAAGACTTTCCTGTCTAATTCTGAATATACAGGAAATAGAAATTTGGCAGACTTTCTGTATTTTCTGATTAGTCAAGGTTTCCTAGACTTTTAATTATATTGCCCGGGTCACTTCAGGAAGGAGCATTGTCCCATCCTTCAGTGTTGTCTGAGTGAGCCCAGGTGTACAGGAAAAATCTACATCATTGATTAAATAATGACCCAGTAAGTAAACAAGGGACTGACCCACCTCCAGGTAGCTGAGGATACAGTATTTCTGGGCTCCATTCAGCCCACAGGTAGAAGATGCAGTAAGTTGCGTGCTGCGGCCCAACAGGAGATTGCCAGGGGTAGGACGGCAGGCACCCTGGTCACATTTGTCTTGAGCTTTCGAGCAAATGAGCCACCCTTGAACACAACAAAAACAGCTACACAGAAGGTGGCCCAAAGGAGCCCAAGGCCTGAAGAAGCAATTGGTTAAGCTGGAAAGTTAACGGTTCATCTATTTTTAATACCAGTTTCGTGGATATTCAAGTTTGTGGATGCTGTTGGTGCCCTCAGCCCGATGGGAATCTCCTAGCATGGGAGAGTTCACCATCTGCATCCCTGGGCCCCACCTGGGACAGCCAATGCCTGATGAACACAGGGTTCAAAAGGGTGATACCATTGGATCCACTCCACCCTGGGGTTCATGCTCAGCATCTTCTCTTGGCACATGGCTGGCCTGTGTTCACTGCCTTCAATCCTTTACTCCTGATGGCACTCTCTCAATGAATCACTTCACACCAATTCTTGTGTCAGCTCTGCTTTGAGGAAACCTCTTCAGAGACAGTTTCTGTTTACTGGGAATTCTTTATGTGTCATTTTAGGGCAAATAGTGAAGCCTAATGAATAGACACTAGGAAGGAGAATCCTAATCCTGACTGTTAAATCTGTTGTTTCAATGGCAAAAATGAAATTGGAGACTTTAAGACATACATGGGAAATATCTTTCCCTTAAAATAAGTAGATCCAGTAGAACCCCTTTATAACCTGATTGTTGGGTTCAGATAACCCATGGAACAAATCATCCCCCTTTAGGATAAAGTAAGAGTTTCAGTCTGTATGACAAACAATTCATTTTGATGCCTAATGTCCTATAGATGTGCAATGAGGGAATTTGGTCATGAGTGAGATAAGATCACTGCAGGGGTAATGCTATCTTAATCGCTACCTCAGTTCTCTATTATTCATGTGTAGCTTCTGAGAGAATATTCCTAAGTCTAAGTTTGTGTGTGTGTGTGTGTGTGTGTGTATATATATATATATATATATATATATATATATATATATATATATATATTTTTCTTTATCCATTAATCTATTGACAGGCACCTTGGCTGATTCCATAGCTTGGCTATTGTGAATTGCACTGCTATAAACATTGATGTAGCTGCATCCCTATAGGATGATGATTTTAGATCTTTTGGATATATACTGAGGAGTGGCATAGCTGGGTCACATGGTGGTCTCATTTCTAGGTTTTTGAGGAATCTATACTGCCTTCTGCAGTGGTTGTGCTAGTTTTTAGGTCCACCAATGATGTATAAGTGTATCGTTTTCCTCACATTCTTGCCAATACATATAGTTATTCATGTTCTTGATAATTGCTATCCTGACTGGAGTGAGATGAAATCTCAATATGGTCTTGATTCGCATTTAACTAATTGCTAGAGATATTGAGCATTTTTTTCATGTATTTCTTGTCCATTTATATTTCTTTTCTTTCTTTTTTTGAGAATTGCCTGTTTAGTTCTTTTGCCCATTTATTAACTGGGTTATTATTTTTCTTTTGGTGTTAAGTTTTTTGAGTTCTTTGTATATTTTATATATTAATGCCCTATCTGAGAAGCAAGTGGTAAAGATCTTCTCTCATTCCATAGGCTCTCTTTTTTCATGTTCTTGTTTCCTTTGCTGTGCAGAAGATTCTTAATTTGATGGCATCCCACCTATTGATTTTTTTAGTTTTATTTCTTGCACGTTAGGGGTCTTGTTAAGGAAATTGGTTCCTGTGCCCATATGCTGGAGTGTTGGACCTACATTTTCTTCTAGTAGTTGCAGAGTTTTTGGTCTAATTCCTAGGACTTTGATCCACTTTGAATTGGATTTTGTGTAGAGTGAAAGATAGGAATCTAGTTTCATTCTTCTACATATGGATTTCCAGTTTTCCCAGAACCATTTGTAAAAAGATTATCTTTTCTCCAAGGAGTGTTTTTGGCATCTTTCTCTAGTAACAAATAACTGTATTTATATGGGGTTGTCTCTGTGTATTCTATTCTATTCCATTGTCTTCATGTCTATTTTGGTGCCAATACCATGAAAAGCATTTTTTTTTAATCCACCTTAGATTAACACTCCATGCAACACTAGAAGAACACTTCGGGAAATGCTAAATTCCATCTTATTTAAGTGTCTTCTGTTCTAAAAATGCTTCAATTCTGTAAGTGGGGTATTATAACATCTGACTTGAAGACTGACTTAAAGTTAATTTTCAGGAATTGATTTAAGATTTTAGTCATATATAATTAAATTTTCTCTGGAACATTTCATAAATTGCTTATATTGCAACATACATGACTTTGTATACACAATTCTAAATATAATATTTGAGAGCTACTGAGTTAGATAAAGAAAGGAAACTAGGAGCAAATGAATGGGTAATTTGAATCATTGTAAGTGAATTGTTAAATCCCTATATGTATAAATGAATTTTATTTCTTGCCTGCAGAGTATGCTTCATTATCTTATGTTTTTCACTCTTGTAATAATAACATGAATGTATTTTCTAATTGTTGTGAAGTTTGAATAAAATGAAATAGAATCTTATTGGAGTTAAGGTCTACAGCTAGCATGCAGATAAATTCGAATACATAGAATGAGTGCATTCGTGTACTGTTTTGTGAGGCAAGCACTTTATCAACTGAGCTATATCCATAGCCCTTCTGTATTATTTTGTGGGTTGCTATTTGTAGAAATAGTTGTTTCCTCTTTTAAAAAGTATATTTGAAATGGCGTGGGAAACCTTGTTATCCTTATGTAGAAGAATGAAACTAGATCCTTATCTCTCTCCCTTCACAAAAGTCAACTCAAAATGGACCAAAGACCTAGAAATTAGATCAGAAACTATTTCTTTGAAGAAAATATAGAGTCAACACTCCAGCATATAGGCAATGACTTTCTCAATAAAACTCCTAAAGCTCAGGAAATAATGCCAAGAATTAATAAATGAGATAACATCAAATTAGAAAGCTTTCATACAGTAAAGAAAATAATTAGAATGTAAAGAGAGAAGCTATAGAATGGGAGAAAATCTTTGCTAGCTACTCTTCTGAATTAATGTCCAGAATACATAAAGAACTCAAAAAACTTAACATCACAAAAATAAATAACTCAATTAAATGGGCAAATGAATTAAAACACTTTCAAAAGAAGAAATGCAAATGACCAACAAATATATTAAAAAGAGTTAAATATCTTTAGCAATAAGAGAAATGCAAATCAAAACTATATTGAGAGTTTATCTCATTCCCGTTAGAATGGCAGCCACCAAGAAAACAAATAATAAATGCTGGAGAGGATGTGGAAGAAAAGGAATAGTTTTGCACTGTTAGTGGGACTGTAAATTAGCACAACCACTATGTAAACCAGCAGGAGGTTTCTCAAAGGACTAGAAATGGAACCACCATATGATCCAGTTATACCACTCCTTGGTATTTATCCTAAAGAATTAAAGTCAACATACTCTGGCGATACATGCATACCTCTGTTTGTAGCGGCACAATTCACAATACCTGAACTATGCAACCAGCTTAGGTGTCTGTCATTAGATGGATGGATAAAGAAAATGTGGAATATATGCACATCAGAGTTTTATTCATCCATAATTATGTCATTTTCAGGAAAATGGATAGAACTTGGGACCATTATGTCAAGTGAAATAACCCAAACTGAGGGTAATATATTTTATCTCATGTGTGGGAGCTAGAGAGGAAAAAGAATAAAAAGTGTGTGTGTGTGTGTGTGTGTGTGTGTGTGTGTTCTCATGAAAATTAAAGGAAGATCTGTAGAGTAGAAGAAAGGAACATTGAGGGGAAATCGGGAGGGAAAGGAGAAATACTGGAAATTATATTTTCCAAATTCTATTGTTATATTATGTGCATTATTAATATGTAACAATTAATATCACCATTATGTGAAATTATAATGCACCAATAAAATATGGAAGAAAGTATATTTGAATAGGATAGTACAGTATCACAGGTTTTCATGTGGGCCTAAGTTGTTATTTCTCTGCAATAGATGCTCAAGAGTGCAATTGGTTATATGGTAAACATAGTTTTGTAAAAAGCTATCAGATTTTTCCCCAGAGTGTTTGTAACACTGTATATTCCCACCAGCAATGTAGGAGGGATACACTTTTTCCACATCCTCTGTAATGTCTGAGGTTGCCACTATTTTTTATCTTAACCATTATGATAGGTGTATAATATCTTTTGTGGTTTTGAATGGTGTTTCCCTAATGAGTAGTAATGTTTAACCTCTTTTCATGAGCTTATTTGCCATCCTTATATCTTCTTTACTGAAATGTCTGCTTCTGTTGCTTACCTTTTTCCAATTGGACTGATTTGGTCCATGACCTAATTGAGTGAATATTTATATAAGGCATGAGGTCATGTTTGCATAAGATAAAACTGCACAGAATTAAATATATATACATATAGGTATACACATAAAACTGAATGAGGTCAGTGAATTATATCAATGTCAATTTCTTGGTTGTGATATTGCACTATCATTATACAAAATATCATCATTGAGTAAAATCGAATGGAAGATACACAAGATCTGTCTGTATTATTTCTTACAGCTGCATGTGATCTCAAAAGATAAAGTATCCACAGCCCCCTTGCAAAAAACAAAACAAAACAAAAAAACTCCCCATCAGTCTCTGGAGAATGAACCAAGGAAAGCTCACACTCTACAATACCACACACATGACATATTTCAGCTGCTGTTATATACTTTTTTTTCCTGTGAAATATGAAAATTTATGCCAAACCTTTCCAGTAGATAGGAGTGAGAATAAGGGGTCTATAATGAAAAATAATAACCTCACTGTGAAATATATTTTGCTTCTCCTCAGATTTCCCCCATTATAAAATATAAAGAAATAATTTCTTCTCATAGACTTGTTTGACAGTTAGTGGATTTCTTTCATCTTGACCTCCACAAATGTAGGCTTTTGAAAAAATCATTTCTTATATGGACACATTCTCCACATAAACTATTCTACTATTCTGGTCATGTTGTATCATCAGGCATGAAACATACACAGATCATGAATTCTACATTTGAGGATATTATCCCTGATGTCTCCATTACTAAATGACGGTTGGAATAGGGACTTTCCTCTCCTCAACCTCCCTGTAAAGAATGCTATTTTAAATCAAAGGCACAACATTTCTTTCTCTTCCTTTGAGGTAATTATGTAAAGAAAGTCAGCTCCATCTTACACCCTTTTGGTGGTATAATACATGATCCTAGATTGGTAAATGTGGATTTTTCCTTTTATTTATTCAACAACTCAAATTCACATCTCCTCTTATTTCCTAGTATTAGGATTTAGGATAAAATCCTTTTTAGGAGTTTGGACTCTAATAATTAGAGATTTTTTTTTAAAGTTCAGGTATAAATTTTTGTTGATGCTACATGTGGATTAACTAAGATTTCCCTTCCAGGGATTTGTTCTTTTAGACAAGTTGCATCCTGAATTATTTTATTGGCATTGATGCCTTAGAACTTTAACATGTTTTATTAACCTGACTTGGCCAAACTTGTTTTGATTAGATGTGTACTTTTCAGAAAAAAAAAATCCCAGGACTTGGGGGAAATTGAACTATTATTCTTATAATAGTATAAGTGCAAATAGGAACTTTTAGTCTAAAACACTTGATTAAAAATGGCTGGAAACACAGAAATTAAAACTTCATGCTGAAGACTATTTTAAAAAAAATTAAGTGAATTGCATCTGAATTTTCAACTGCCAAAGTATCACAAAGCAATAGGTAGAGTTGATTCAGAGAACAAAAACGTTTATATTTTTGGAAATTCGGTTCATTCCACACAAAATGTCATGAAACATGAAGAGAGAATGTTATTAAAAATGAATTTAGGAGATATGCTCATTCAAAGAAAATGTGCATCTGTTATCCGTAAAGGATCATTTTGTAGAAATCACTATCATTGTATAATATTTCTGGTTAATAATTTTGCATATTGCTACAATGTTCTTAATCATGTGAGATGTTTTCACGTTTTAGAGTCCATTGCAGAGTTTTAGAGGATGCAAGCACATACCTTTATATTCCCACACACATTTAGTTATCATGGGTGATAAGGAATGTGTATTACGTAAGGTTTGTACTTTGCATCCAATTTCCAACATCTGGAGGCCAATGCAATTTTTATGATTCTTCTTCTCTTCCTCAGTCAGAATGAAATGTGAAATGTTTAAATAGGGTCCAGTAATTGCATAAATACTTATAGTCAAACTCCCAACTAGAAAATGCCCACGCTGATGATGTGTGGGCAACCTGGTTGGGAGTTTGACCTTAGGCAATCCTAGAGATTTGGTTTTGAGTAGGGCAAGCTTAGGTTCAAGAATCCAGAATCCACTGCAGTGGGTCCTTTTTCTGGCAGAGCTAATTTAGTATTGAAGATATTCCCTCCAACCCTCAAGAAAGGGGAGGGATCCCTCAGTTACCTTGGAGTGGCTTAGATCCGTTGTAATGTGTGGTTAAGGGATCCCACACACAGGCCTGGGGAAGACAGAGAGATCCTCAGTGATCTATTCTAATACTGAATACTAGTTTAGTTCCAAAGAGGACATCTAAGGCAGCCACAGAAGACACAGCCAGCTGAGGCCAACTCTAAGCCCCATAGTCCTGGGCTGTGGATATCAACCAAGGGCCCCAGGTGGCCCAGGAGTCCCTGCTTCCACTGTCCTGTGGCTCCCCTTTCCAAGGCAAGGAATTCTCAGCAGGCGAATTGAAGGCTCATCATTCTGCAGTTGCTCCTCTAGCACCAGCAAATCTAACTGAGAAATTACCTCAGGATTTGATTCTGAAAGTTGAAGAGAAGATTCTAAGCGACTTAGTATTCAACAACTAAAGGCAGGGCTGTTATAGATATAGAAACGTCAGGGCAGAAGGGAGTAATTAATTTTTGGAAGCATCTTCTCTATGACTAATGCAAATTATTCTTTGTTTATTAAAGACAGCAAAAGCATGGAGAATTTGGCCTTTTTTAGTTTGGACATGCTGCTCATTTAGAAGAGGGAATTTTGCCTGTGAGTTCTTCACAATACCTTGTCACTGGGAAGAGTGCTATGTTCAAAGCAGACTATTTAAAAAAAATTAAGTGAATTGCATCTGCAAATTAAGAATCTTAAACTATTCAACATTCTTTAGTATCTATCGTACCTGCTGATGATAGCTTTCTGTTAAGGAGCAACAGGAACAGCTATGTGTGAATACTAAACATGTATGGGTGGAATTTTTCAGTTGTTTGAAACAATTATATAATAGAATGGCTATGCAAAAATAGCAGTATGAAAAAAATAAGAGAATATGTTTAAAACTGATTTCTACTAAATATTTTAGGATAACTCAATACAAGCAGAAAATGGATTTTGACAACTGCTACTCACCAAGGTGTAAAAACAGGGTCAGTCGAATTTGCATTCTTTTGCCAAGAAAGGACTGGATTCAACTATGCTAGGTTAAAAAATGGTTAAAGTCAGTCACTGATAGATTCAATCATTGTTGTCATCACAAATTATTTAAAAGTCCTCAAATTTGACTGCTGGTTCTTACTGTTTAGAGACACAAAATATCTACAACACCCAGTTCCTTAAAAAAATAGGAGTATAAAAATTATAACGGATATTCATTTGCTATTAATTGGTGGTGATGGTTACTGGGGATTGAACTCAGGGTCAGTTAACCACTGAGCCATATCCCCATCCTTTTTTTAACTTTTATTTTGAGACAGGTTCTCCCTAAGTTGCTTAGGACCTCGTTAAGTTGCTGAAGCTGGATGGAACTTCCAATCTTCCTGCCTCAGCCTCCCAAATCACTGGAATCACAGGTATGTGCCACCATGCCCAGCTGCTATTAATGTTTAGTATTTTTGGAAACCACAGAATTCAATAGTTTATGAGCAATAATATGAAATATAAATTTCATTCACATATTTAAATTTATCCCATTTTTCCCATTTAGAATTTTTTTCTAAAAAATTGTAAAATTTTATAGACTTATTATAGAAAAAGTAGAACAGGCAAAATGAAGAAAATATTACCTATAGTACCAACACCTAGAGAAAACAATTGATATCTTGTTCTTCAGAATTTTGTCCTGGTATGTAAATAATTTTCAAAAATGGGATCATAGTGGTCACTTGCTTCAATCAATATATTGTGGACATCTTTCTGTACCACCAACTACATTTTAAAATTGGTGGTTTTAGTTTAGTGTGGGGCATCAGGATGTCATCCTGGCATCAGGATGACAAAGCAAACTAGCAACTCTTCTTTGAAGCTCTTTGTATCCCCTGGGAGAGAGGCCTCTCTCCACCCTAAGACACTGTTGTGTGAGCCCTGATTCAGAAGGGTATGTACAGACACCTCAGAAGATTGTGAAGAAAGAAGGTAAAACTGTTCTCTTACACTAGAATTTTAATTACTGCATAATAGCTCTCTGAATGCAGAAATCAGAAGTTATTTAATGATTCTCCCATTGGTTTATGTGTACTTTGTTTCTAACATTTTCCTATTATGAATATTTCTGCTAAATCTTTAAAATTCACATCTTTATCCTCTAAGATGGAATGGAAATAATTGGTCAAGATGTGTATGTGTTTTAAATAGACATACCTGTGTAATAGATAATAGGTATGTGTGTATATATATATATATATATATATATATATATATGATATATGATACATAGATATATAAATGTAGACATATATATATATACACAGATATATGAGTACACAAACTATATGTATATGTGCATGTATATTTAGTGTGTGCACCTGTGTGTGCATATGTGTAAACAGATTTTGATGTTGCCGTCAAACTGCCAATATAGGAAGTTTGTCCCAATTTATACTCTCATAACAGCTTATGGGAACAACTGTTGGCTTAAACCCTTGTCAATACTGAATATTATGAATATTAGATCTTTGTCAGCTTAAAAAGCAAAAAAGTTATACCTCATCATTATTATTTTAATTTTTTATTTGAATGACAGTGAGTGAAAAAACATTTTCATGCATTTATAGATGAGACTCTCTTTGACATTCTGTCCTTTGAAGTGTTTCCTAATGAGGCCTGTGTTCATCCTCAGCAGTTCCACACTCTTTCTTTTTTTATTTGTTCTTTTTAGTTATACATGACAGTAGAATGTATTTTGACATATCATACATACATGGAGTATAACTTCCCATTTTTATGGTTGTACATGTTGTGGAGTTACAATGGTCGTCTATTCACATATGAACATAGGAAAGTTATGTCTGATTCATTCTACTGTCTTTTCCACACTCTGAATTCCACTCATCCACATTCTCTGGACTCCAGCTGGATAGCACCTCCTGCTTTCTGAACCCTCTTCTGGTGCTATTTCCATTGCCTTAAAGGCACCTTCCTAAACCCAAATGCCAGCCTCCAGTGAAGTCTTGAAATGGAGTGGGGGTGTTTTGAAATGCTTGATTTTAGGTAAATTTCCTATTCTGTGGTCCAAGCTCCTTACACAGCCTGGGGATCATTTCTGAAGTCCAATGGCATAAGAAAATGACCTAGTGACACAGTCCTCTTGCAGCATCTCCCTCTGCAAATGAGCTCTCTGTTAGAGAAGGCTGCAGGGCTACACTGATGACCTTATTTAAAACTGTATGACCTGTAGGAGATTCCAGGGCCATCATGAGGCAGACCACCACCTCAGATGAAAAGCCTAGGCCGAAACTTGGTTTTTGTTTGTTTTTGGCTGATTAACCATTTTAAGTATATAGTTCAATAGCATTAAGCGCATTTACATTATGCAACCAACCTCCCGAACTCTCTTTCATCTTGCAAAAATGAACAAGTTCTCATGAACCCCTCCTACTGGCAATTATCATTCTGGTTTCTCTATGGCTTTCTCTGCTCTCAATATCTCACATAAGCAGAATTATGCAGTATTTGTCCTTTTGTGACTGGCTTATTTCACTTGGCCTGGTGCCCTCATGGTTCATCCATGTTGTAGCATGTTTCAGAATTTCCTTCCTTTTTAAGGCTAAAAATATTCCAATGTATGTACCCAGGTGTGGGAGACCAACATTGCACTTGACTGAGTCACACTCCCCAGCTGGGTGCTGAGACGCTCAGTCACAAAAATGTGGCAGAACTTTCCCCACCCTTCTTGGGTTCGAGGGTCCGTGTCTCGTGCATGGGTGTGTCTTGCTACAGCCCCATGGGTAAAGCTATGCTCAACCATTCCTTTGTAATATAACTCCTTGCCCTGTTTAGGATAGAATCTTCCATGGAAGTGCCATGTGTGTGTCCCCTTCTCTTACTGTGCCCTTGGGTGTGGCCTACCCAGGTGTCAGTCAACCTGCTGACAGTGGACATCATGAAGATAGACTCAGCCCCCTGAAACCTGACTCCTTGCCTCATTTGAATAGCTTCTCCTCAATAAAAGGGGTCAGCACATGCTCCCAGCTCTCTCTCTTCCTGCAGACCCTTAAGGTCAGAGGAGCCATCACAGTGACCCCAAACAAAAACGTATTTGTGTCTCTTTGTGGTTATTTTGAGCAGCCCAGTCAGCCCAGTTCAACTGGAGTAAATCCTGAGCTTTTTAATCTCGAGAACAGAAACCTGGCACCCAGGAAGATTTTTAAGCCACCAATGTTCAGGCCCATCCAAACTAAAGAAATCAGAATCTCTTTGGGTGGAAACCACAGATTAAAGTGTTTAATGTGCTCCCCAGAGGATTCTCATATGTAGCCAGGGTTGATGAGAGCTATCCGGTGGCTTGCAAGCATCTAAAACTCATTAATTTGTCCAATATGCCTGTCCTCCTCCTGGATTCCACTCTAAGATGAGGGCATACCCCCCTGGTTTCCAAGCTTTGCTATGCATTTGGACCACCTGGGGAGCTTTTAAAACTCCTGCTACCTGGGGTCACATTCCATACCAAGTACATCAGAATACCTGGGGATAAGGTGCAGGTGTCCCTATTTTTTAAAGATCCCAGATGATTCCAATGGGTAGCAAAGTTTGAGAACCACTGCACCACCACCAACTAACTTGCTCAGGCCAAAAACTTGAGAGTCATCCTTGATTCCTCTGTCTCTAATCCTTAAATCAAATTCTCATCAAATCCCTGTGATCTTATCTCCTGAAACAATGGCTCTCACAGGGTGGACTGAATAAGGCAACAGATTCATCTGGGTTTGCTGGGACTTTCCTGGTTTTAGCACTGAAAGTCCCTAGGTTTCAGTAATATTCATCAGCCAGCCTGGGGCAAACCACTGGATCAGCAGCACCACCATCACCTGGGAAAAGCAAGCAAAGGATCAGACCCCAGCCCAGGACCCCCTGCTTCACAAACTCTTGGGAAGGGGCCCAGCTTTCTGAGCTTTCACAGATTTCCTGGTGAGTCTGATGAATGCTTCAGTTTGAAAATCACTTCCCTGAGGACCTCCAAGTCCACAGTGCAGTGATCAGAGATGCTGTTGCTTTTAGGGCCAGCAGCTAAAACCTAATGAGAATCCACTCTGCAGCAGAATCATTCTTCTTGTTTGTTTTTGTTTTTGCTACTAGAGATTGAACTCAGGGGTATTCTACCACTGAGCTACATCCCAGTCCTTTATTTTTTATTTTGAGACTGGGTATCACTAAGTTGCCTAGGTTGGCTTTGAGCTTGAGATCTTCCTACCTCAGTCTCCCAAGCCTCTGGGATTACAGGTGTGCATCACTGTGCCTAGCTAGCAGGTACATTCTTATGATCTGGACAGCCTGAGTCCATCATAGATGCTGCAGGTCCACCCTCTGGTGTTGGGGTATGCAGAGACTGGCTGGCGATGTCTGCAGACATATTTGGCTATATAGGAAAGGGGGATGCTCTTGGCATGTACTGGCTAGAGGCCAGAGATTCTGCTCAATAAATACTCCACAATGCATAGGACAGTCCTTGTCCTCACAGCAAAGAATCATTCAACACAAAATATCAAGAGTATTGAGCTTGAGAAACACTGCAAGTGGCTTCACTGCCCCCAGTCATGATGTTTATCATTCCATCCTTAAAATTGGTCATTTTTAGTATTTATCCAGTTTTCTATTTTCCATTTTAGGTGAGTTAAGCCTCCAAATAGATAAAGTTACAGTAAGTCAACTTCTACAAGTTCTTTTATCTGAAATCACCCACCCAAATTTCATAAAACCCATAGCTGCATGTGTAGCACAATTTCAGAAGTTGTGATGTCTGTCCCCTCCATACCTTTCTTTATCAAGTTTACATTTAATTGGTGCTGCTTTTCTTGTTGTTTTACCAAAGCTGACATTTGTGAAGCCTCACAGGGGTTATATGACTTTCTTTTTTTTTTTTTTCCTGGCTCAATTTTTTGGTGGGTTTGAATAATACATGTAAAGTGATTGGCATTAAGAAACAACGCTATGCTTTCTTTGGATGAAAAA